ACTTAAGGGTAAACGGATGGATTTCGTGATTTCATTAATCCGTTACACTACAGGCTGTAGATCATCAAAGCCTGAAGCTAGCAAGGCGATATTGTCGAATAATCAAAATCAGGCAGTCGGCGCTCGGGTGCATACTCACCATCTTCAGAACCGTGTAGAGCCCTTTTGGATAATCCAGTCAATAACGTAGTTTACCAGAATTGGCGACAGGATACAAACTTGATGAACGCCAAATCCGATATTAAACTGCATGGTCAGAATCCGCGCAGAGGCGAAGTCGCAAAGCAGATGGCCGTCGGTTGCTGGTAGTTACGGCAAAATTAAAGAATGCGCTTCATTGTCCATAGCTGATCCGCGCATCCACTCCCGGGCCGGGATTCAACTGAGTTTTGCTTCCTGGATTTAACCACGGCCTAAAATCGACTGAGGACAACAGCGACGTCGGTGAGTCGGCTGCCGCGACAATTCTCGCATCTTGTCTTCGTGCTTGAAGACAAGTACAAACATTCCCGAACCTCAGTCACCAGGACTGCCCTCATATCTCCACATCCTCTCAATCACATCATGAAGCCGGAGCTTCAACTTGTTCATACAAAACTCGTAAATTTAGCCGGAATGCCGTCTTTTCCGAGTGCCTTATTGTTGTGTAGCCTTTACATAGCTCTGGGTTGCGGAGCACGCACGTTCAGGCGTAGATCGCAATCGTGCAGTCTTACATGATTTTATGAGGTTTCTTGTGGATTTTGATTACAATCGGTCCCCAATATCTATTCGAATTGTCTTTTCGGGGTTGTTTTGTCTAGCGCATTGGCTCAATAGTAAGGCAGTGTTGGCAAGGAAACTTATTTAATGGCTTTCATCATTCCTCCTTTCTGTCTGCGGGTCTTGTAATATTTTATAAGGCAGTCGTCATGCCAGACTTCCGCCTTCTCAGTCCTCTTAGCGTATCTGGTAAAACTCTGATAGTGGAAACTTACTTTCGAAATCGTTTTCCGTTAAAATTTGTAAACGCCTACTGTGGACTACTTTACAAACCTAAGATTCTGTCTGACTCAAATTATTAATTCGCTATCCGCAGAGAAACGACTAGCAATCTGCTTACCTTGACAAAGCAAATAAGCCGCACAAAAGTTGATAGAATCATGGGTAGACGTCTGTCTACAAACTGTAATGTTTTCCCAATGTTGGTATCTATGGGTTGGTCGTGTTAACTAAATCTCAAGTTATTTCCGTTAAGACTAACTGTGCTATCAGGTTACCAATTTACTCTTATTTTTGGAATAGTGTTGTGGCCTCTCGAGCTTACTAATGATGTTTTTAGTGATTGTGTGTATTTTTTTATTTTTAGTGTCGCGGTTTTTTAACTCGCAATGGTTTTTATTCTGGAACATATTTTTACTAAACACCTCTGTTCAAGCTGACGTCCTTTAGATTAGAGTTCGGTTCGATTACAGTTCAGATTCTGGCTTACATTGGGCTTCATGATTCAGCTTTCGAAATATGCATTTTCTGCAGTCGTTATATCGAACGTGCATTGTCCAATTATATTCAAGAGGTATTTTTGGCCGATGTGTCCTTATAGTTTGGTTTCATGTCGTTTTGTTTGGGTTATGAACACGCTTAGTTTCTAACGTTAGAAATTGAAGTATTCTGTGTTTCACACGTGCCTCTAAAATTTTATTGCATGTACGTGCAATCTTGTAACTGCATAGACGGTCAAAGTGATATTATTTTCTTACATTTTAAAATGGTCTGTGAATTCACATATACGGGATGAAACATACAGAAGTTTCTATCGCGTCAGTTCCCCGGAAAATAAACTTGACGAAGTCACTCAAAACTGCACATGTGTTTGAGACATCAAACCTAAAATTAAGTCAGGCTAGATGTTTTGTTCTTCGCCAAATTATTTTTTTGCCAGAGCACTTAAGTTATTCCTAAATCTGCTTCTAGCCCACACGTACAAGTCCAGAATTAATCAATAGGTCACTTGGTTTAACTTGACGCCTGCAAATCGATCTTTCTTAAGCCCAGTTGACGCCTCCGCCCGAGAGAAAGAGAATCCGGGCTTTATCTGCTGCGAGAATATGACGAACACGGCTGGAAGGATGGACACATTTACCCAAAAAAATGAAACTTCGCGACCTGGTTACCAGCAGAATGACAACGGATCCACGTTTACTGGAAGCCATATTTCTCGCAAGGGCCAAAGTTCAATGTATGCTCCCCAGCTGACTCGAATGTCTGAGCTCTTGAGGACTGATCACTGTACTAGTAAATGTAACACACAGTTCAATTCTGTTTACTGTTATGGCGATGGTCCAGTGCTTGAATCTTCACATAAAACTATTCAGCGTCCACGGAAGTCCACAGCATTTGATGCACGGGAATCGAACACGTCTGCTTCAAGTGCTGACAAAATTGGAAGCCAGAGTGTTGATGTTACCGATGGCGGAACTTCCAAAAATAACAAACGTCAAAAACTACTGGCTTGGCTCAAAGCTAGTCAGGCAAAACGGGATGAAAATAATCGTCAAGTGTTTTCCCGGTGGATTGAGAAGATCGATAATGAGCGTCCGAAAGGACATTTAACATCGCATCATAGGCCAACATTTTACTGCGACCAGTTTCCACAGCCCCAAATGTTAGTTTCTGCAATGCAGTCATACCCGGGAGGTTCCGCTGGGGTTCCATTAATCTACGTTGGCTATCCCCCAGCCTCGATCCCTCCCCATGCCGAAAATCTGACTGCCTATAATTTTGGTCAAATGAAGTCACACCTTTTTCCCTTCGGGAATTCAATCATTCACAGTCAAGACCATACTGTGCCTCCTGTTATGCGGCCATTATCCCCAACAGAACGAGTGGGGTCCAGCGTCCCATTCAAGTTTGATCCGAGCCCATCATTCGAACCCTGTGAAGTAAAGTCTCCTGAAGTTAATCAGACTAGAGTGGAAGCCGATCTTCCCCAAAGCTTCGAACCACTGTCTTCAAACGATCAAAGATCGCTTAGTTCACCGATGGCAGTACCAACGATTATGCCCGGCAGTTCCAATTGTAATTATATCGACCCACAAATGATGTTTTTTATGCCATATATGGGCTACAATCAGGGGCAAAGCCCAGCTATGCCCCTTCAAAATGCCGGTGCGGTCGGTGACCTAAATAACTTGAGCCCGAGTCGTCTCGCCACGACCTTTTGTCCCTCACCCTTTGTGACACCGGACGGTCAAATGCCGATGTTTATGTTGGGACAAATGAACAGCTGGTACAACGGAACAGGGGCCAACCAATCGTGTAACTTTTCCATCCCTCATTCATCATCCAAAAATATGTCGCTTGGCATTTGTGGGCAATACACTCCGAATATGAACAGGTATTTATACCAACCAGCTGGGGCGGGAGCAACGACCGAAGCCAACCAGCCTCCTACTTCTAACACACCGGGGTCAAATTTTGACTTCCAGAACTGGATGTCTGCCCTGGATGAAATCGGTAAGGACCACCAAAGAAATACGGTTTCTGAAACTTCGGAGACCGCCAGTACCCTGGAGTAAAACGGAGTGTAAAGGTCACTGGATTCTGCTCTGATGGGTATAGATTACTAGGGAATCACTCTTCTTTTATTTTCTTTATTATTTCTTGATTTTCACTTTTACGTCTCTCTTCCAAACATATAGAATGTCATGCATAAGTTGTGATCACCGATACTTGCTATCGAAATGGCTAACTTCATAATCTAGTGTCCCATCCTCCGGGCTGTCGAGCGGTCGGCATTCGAATCTCCTATGCTGCTTAGATTTTTCATGGGTGATGAAAATAAAATTAAATATCACACTCGCAGACTTGTGCAATCTTACAGTGCATAACTATATTTAGAATATATTTTGTGGTTTTGCTATGCCAAGCTCTCGTGTGACGTAAATCGCGGGGAGATTTTATGGTGGTTGAAAAAAAGCTCTAGCGAATGTATTTGAAGTCTAGGGGATTGTTGAGCGCTTCGGGGACTCTGAGCGCATTTAGTTTGATAAAAGGTACAAATCAGTCACGCATGAAATATCCACGTTCGGTTCTTTTGTATCAAACTATGGGGATCGTCACCCCGAAGGGGTACTAAAATGTTTATGAGACCGTCGCAGACGCTGTTACCTGCTGAGATATCTCATACGCTATCTTCTGCGTGATCCATTTTAATTTCATCTTAAAGCTTTCACTTTTAGTCCTATTGGTGGTGCTCCGCTCCACTGAGTCATTCAGTAAAAACCGAGACCCCTCACGTTGGCTTTCGGAATGAGTATCAGCACAAACGGTTGCATTCTTATTCTAGTATTTTAAGCCTTACTGCCTCATACATGGATTCCATGCGGTCCGGTTTCGTCGATTGTCAGGGGAAAAGCTTAACAGAACGATGGCGTTGGCACTTTAGATGAGAAGGCAAGCTCTAAATTCGTATATCCGATCTTTTTATTATTGGCAATTACGAACCAACCATGGAACAAGTGGACTTTTTATCGGCATTTGTGTTTCGCGATCCAACATAGTTTGGATTGTAGTTGCCCGACACCTATATGACACTGCCACAAATGAGTAACGCTCACCTACCAGAGCTATTTTTAGAAGTAAATGCGTTCGTTCCACCTTGCCTTTGAACTCTGTTATAGAGCGCCTAAGTTTGCTAATGTCGCTTGCCAATATCGCTTGCGCCGGACCCGGTGACAATCTACGGAGTCTGAGCTCATGCTTTAACTGTTTGGTCCATCCGGAAATGAAGGTAGAAGTTGCAAACTTATATGAAGTTAATAAATTCTGCATATTTCGTCGCCTTCAACTTGTTTAAGTCAGAAATATGTATGCCACTGTAAACTGTCATTGTCGCTAGTGCATCTGAATAACGTCTTGTCTCTCAAAGTTCATGGTCTAAACGGCTAAAGATTGCGCATTTCTTAATTATGTAGTATCTTCTGTTTAAGATGTATAAATGCCGAGTGATATTTCCGATCTGCTCCTCTATCGCTTCAATTATAACCTTACTTATAGTGCTTAGGAAGTCCATACTGAATGAATAGATCAATATTCTCCCCGGATCCTGGAAATATAGTCTTGTATGACTAGAAAAGAAGTCTCGAACCCGTGCAGGAGTCCATCGTCAATGATGATAACGGCATCTATAGGGGATACAAGCCAATCGCTGACCAAGAAGACACATCTAAAGGTGA